CAGGCCCCGATGTGGTCAATGACCTGTGACAGGATAACCCTCAAAAAGCAAATTAATAAATTTCAATCTCATCTACTGACTATGTGAGCTTAAGCAATACTCTTTAAGAACACAACTTGGCTGTCAACCTTCTTTACACATTAAAATAAAAAAATATTCCCAAAAGAAAAATCATGGTTTGCCTTCATAAAATGAAGCAGGTGCTATTTGTTAACATATATACATTATACAGTATTATATACCAACTATACTGTACAATAATAATATATAAAATACAAACTCTTAAAAATAATTACAGGTACAGCCTAATGTGATCTGTTTTGTCAAATTTGAAATAACTGTTCAATCAGGGTGTAAGATCTTCAACTGTAGCCTGAATCAATCTCAAAATTGAAGTTGTTGTTACCTATATTAACACAAAATTGTGAAATTAAATATAAAATATTAAACATAAATGAAAAACTTCATGGCAGACGATGTAGAAGGCAAGCTAATAGAAATATGGATGAAAAATACATATCCCCTGATAAGCTCAACAGGTGGCTGGCCAATCAGGTGCTGATCCCCCTGATTCTTAGCATTCAGAACCAAGAAAGTTACCCATCCCCCTTAGCAGGAAGCCTGTCACTGAAGGGCTGTTCCATCACTGACAAGCATATCTGATAGCATCTGAATTCTATTGCCAAATGCACAAGTGTTAATGTAAAGGATGAATCCCAGTCCCCCACTATGTCCAAATAACAAACTTCAGATGCTTCATTTAATACATTACCATTCAGTTACAGAATCACTGATATTTGATCTTTAAAACACAACTATCACACAATGGAGAAAAAATGTGGTACTGAGCTCATAATGGTACAGTATCTTATTTTTCTACTTTTCATACACAACAGCATTCATCATCATCACCATCATCACCAATTTATGGTCTTTTTCCAGACTTCTATGTTTTAGCCATGGTTACCCGAGGGCAGCTCTCCTAGTTGCACGGTTTCCTGCAGCTTCAGCCTCCCTCATCAGGTTCTTATCTCGAGGGACATTTCTTACAGCCACTCTCTATGTCACTCTTGGCCTACCCCCATCTTCCCTCCCTTCACATTCAAACTAATTCACCTCTTGATCCAGCAATGTTTGAGCTAAACCTTTTCCTAATTCTCCACTCCATATACTGCACATCTCTTTAATCCGGGAAAAATTTATATAACATAATGCACACATTCCTTCACTTTGTATCCCATTTTATAATCAGTCTTCCTCTAATTTACATCATTTCACATTGGCTGCATCCTTGCAATCAGTCATCATCTTAGACATCATATTGTGTGTGTGTGTGTGTGTGTGTTTTCTTTTCTCTCTCTCTTTCTTTCTTCCTTCCTTGTACTCTCAGCAATAAGGATGATATTACACACAACTGCTGAATTCTAATACTCAAGAGATCAGCACCTTCATTGCCACCCTGCATCATATTAATACTGAAAAAATATATATATATTCATTTATTTATTCTTAGAAACACACACATCCTAGGAAGGAAAATAAATTATAAAAAAATACAGTCCAGTATTTATACAAATTCAGTGAATAAATTCCTGAGTGTGGTATTCAAAGGTTTTCATAATTTGATTCAAGCTTACTACTTTAGAGTCTTTTCAGATGTATTTATTGATATAAATTTAATTAAATTTATTATCTCATTATAGGCACCATAATACCAGGTTGACAACACCTTATCCGAAATTCCAAAAGCCAAAGACCTCTGAAAACCAAAAGTTAGTATCACTTGTGTACACAACATCCCCCATTTTTTTTTTATTATTATTTTTCTTTTACAGGATTAGCTGACCTGCCCAGGTCACCACACACATCAGGCCCTGGGGGAAAATATAATAATAATAATAACAATAATAATAATAATAATAATAATAATAATAATAATAATAATAATAATAATAATAATAATAATAATGCTGTAAATAACAATATAATAATAGTAATAATAATAATAATAATAATAATAATAATAATAATAATAATAATAATAATAATAATAATAATAATAATAATAAAAATAATAAAGAAATACAAAATGAAAAAATATCAAAAGTGAGAAACACGACCTAGACCTAAGAATTATTATTATTATTATTATTATTATTATTATTATTACATTTTCACCTCCCAGGCCCCGATGTGTCGGTGACCTGTGCTCGGGTGGGCTAACCTTAACATTCTGAAATTCGAAACACATCTGGCCCCAAGGATTTCGGATAAGGGGTTGTCAACCTGTAATATCAAACCTATATTACTGGTAAAACTAAAATTTAGTTTAAAGTGAAGCAACATCTTTGATCTTCATACACTGATCATTATATTGCACTGGACAATAAACCCTTGATGTTATGGTGGTTAGATTCCTAGAAAACACCATGCAGACTGAATCTACATTAGAAAAAAATAATACCTTCGGCTTAAGAGAAATACTGTAGAGGGATAGGTTCCAGGTTCTCATTAGTTCCCCATGACTGGCTACCAGAAAGGGAGATCTTATCAGCTAGCCAGCAAAGACATAACTCACTATAGATAAATGACCCCATCATTCCAATTCTTCTAAAGATGCTCATTTTGTACATTCATCCGTGTTTTTTATAAATAATTTTCTGCTGATACCAAACTTTGATATCTACAGTTCAAAAAGGCGGTGAAGACAAGAGTGTAAAGCCTTGACAAGTGAGTGGTGGACATGGTAAGGTATGCCAACTGTTGAAATATACCTCTGACCATGATGCATTAAATGAAACACTACACAGTAAGGTATGCCAACTGTTGAAATATACCTCTGACCATGATGCATTAAATGAAACACTACACAGTAAGGTATGCCAACTGTTGAAATATATGCATGATGTAATGAAACACTACACAGTAAGGTATGCCAACTGTTGAAATATACCTCTGACCATGATGCATTAAATGAAACACTACACAGTAAGGTATGCCAACTGTTGAAATATACCTCTGACCATGATGCATTAAATGAAACACTCAAGGAAATAAGAAAAAGATGCACATCTTGCCTCAGATAAATGTTGTAACATAAAACAACTGGGATATATACGAAGAGATAAATGACCCAGCACTAGATATTACTAAAATACCTTTAAAGATAAAGACTCCTGATACTGGCAACACCATGAGTTGGTCAAAATATATCAGCTGACCACTCTATAGTGACCAGCTTCCTACTTCATCTTAGATAATTTTACTTTAAACATTATTTGCTTAGATAAGCTCTAATACTAAACAGTATATAGGTTCCTGTAATGTTTGGTTGGATCTACTCTCATAGTACTGTAGAGAAAACATTGAGTAAATTTCAAAAGTAACATCCTCTCAAACCTGGTAACACCACCACTTCTTGCCATATGAGTTAACATTACTGTGCTTATATATTCTTCAACACTTTAGGTTTTGGCAATGTTTAGTTTAATCTTTTGTTGTAGTTTTGTAGACAAATTACTAAGTAAGTTTTGACAATGACACCCACTGGAACAGCCACATCGTACCGCATACAGTTGGTGACGTCTTAATTGTGTTTACATACTTCAAGAGTTTATGATTAAACATGATTTTCTTTGGATATTTTTCCTTATTGCAATAAAATCCTCGTAGTGATTTGTGTAAGCACTGATGTTTGAGGGTTGTGGGTATATACAGTATGTGTGTGCATAAGACACATGAAGACAGAGGAAGTCAGATGGAGACATCTGACAAGAATCGGACATTCTAGGCCCTTGTGGCCACTGTAGGAACCAAGTAAATTTATACAGCATTAAAAAATTTAAAAAATAGCTGACCATGTATGAGCATATTCATGCAAAAAATCTTACTATACAAGTATTGGGGGTTTGCTGTACTGTACTGTACATCTAAATCACACAAAAGCTAACTCACTGCAGTGCTATGGCAATAAGATACATCAAGCTTCAATTATCAAAGCATAAAAAGAATTACACACACAATAATAACAATAAGGTGCAGAGCTAATGGACTGTACGATACAAAGCGGCAAAAGGTGACAAGACTGTACCTAGTGTTCCTGCAGGGGCTATGATCGGCGAGATATAGAATGTACTATCTGGTGGAATAACAGGTGAGAATGTAGGGTTAGTAATGAACTTACATAAACAACCATTAATAAACTTCTACACCTAAGAATTATCAGCTTCATCAATAATGTCCAAACTTAACCTTAGTCATTTCCATTAGAAAGTGAGTGAATGCAAACAACAACCTCTCCCTTTGTGTACAGGTATTGTGTTGTATGGAAACAAGGTAACCAAGGAATACCTGTAGGAGTATTATAAATGCTGGCCTATTCCAGGTCTCCTTTCTCAACACAATCACTCATTCATCTCTTCTTCCACACAATCTGAGAATTTCTAAACTCACAGCAAACTTATACAGGAGTCCTTAGGAATACAAAAATCAAGACATAGCCATACAAATGTTGGGCATATTTGTACAATGTTTAATTCTATAATAATGACCCCTGTAGTAGGACACAAAATCAATTGTATTTCTGATATCGAGTTGAATCAATAAATGGTTCAAGGAAATAAGATGGAGCATGAAATCAGACATGCCCACTGTCCCCTTCAACCATGCTCAGATAGACTACAAGTACATGTTTTAAATATTTCCAGCTCTTAAAATATACTATGTCCTGATCAAAAGTTTGGAGGATACAACAAGCAGTTGTTACAGCTAGACCAGCCATGAAAAAATTATTTTGTTCCTATGTACATCATCTGATAAAAAAAAATAAATAAAATAAATAAATTACTGAATACGGTACAGCAATCTCAGTCCTTCAAACAAATATCATGGGAAAAATTTGACACTACAGTAGTTATCAAAAGCAAAGGAGTAAGTGAAGAAGTAGGTGGACATACTAAAAAGGGAGAAATATGAAAACAGTAAAAAGTCTCATGTTCTTACTTTTAGCGGCAGAGATTTGTGACATTTTCCGCTTCATTGTCTTTATCGTCTGCCATGATCTTGCCAAGAATAGAACTAAATCTGTTATCTCGACCTCTGTCTTTTTTATGTAGCTGTCCTATACAAACTTCTTCCACCTGCTTGGCACATGATTTAGGATATTCATTTCACAATCTGTAAAATGAAATAAGAAAGGTTTTAGTATCAATGCACAAAATTTAGGAAAACCTTGAAAAAATAATACATACATAAATGAATAAATAACCTACATATACATATGAATGAGAGAAAGAAGTGTGTGTGTGTGTGTCTGACTCATGCATGGGGACAAAGCCACCATTATTTATATACTGCAATACTGTATTACCTAACATGTTGATGGGGATATGTATGGTATTTTAAGATGCAGCAAAGTTTTGAGATAAGCTGACTTTTCATTTTTATTTTAAGCTGATTGTTCTTGTGGTAAGTTTCAACTCTCCCTATGGGCTGAAAAAGGTTACTTATACTGACAATAAATCTTACTAAATTTATTTTACCCCTAAGTCATAAACAAAATAATTTACAGTTACAAATCACAGAGAAGCACTGGAACAAATCATTATACAATTTTCAAAAATCCAAAGTGAGCTAATGTCAGGTAACAACTGTTAGGTATCTTTGATCTCATGAGACGTTTAGATCAGGTCCTTGTGAGAATAAGACCAGTAGGGATAACTTTTGATGTTAGTGTGGATCTCAGTTCATGTAAGATCATACCAAGGTCACATGGCCAACTCATATTTGGCCTGACCTCACCTAAAGTTTACCCTCCACAACACTACCTGGGGTGGAGATTCTAAGCTGATTGACCTGTGGCTATATGTTCACATGTTAGCACTGGTCACTGACATGCTGGTCAGAAATTTTGGCAATGACACAAAAACCCATTTCACTTGTCAGGTCAAAATTGTGCTGCCTTGGATCCATAACTAATTTAATATGATCTAAATACAATTATATAATATAGTCAGTGTGTCTGTGTAGAAAATCCGAAGCCAGGCCTGTGGCTTCAAAGACGAAGACAGTGCTATGCCTCTGGCTTCAAAGTCGAAGCCAAGTCCAAAAATCATGGCTTCCAGAAGCCGAAATCAGCTTCAGCCCCATGCTTGGTGTGTATGTGTATTGTATGTAAGAATGAAAAGCATGGTATCAAGTGTTTTGGGGGAATGGAAAGGCTACAGAGGGATGGATGAAATGACAAGAAAAAATCAGATAAATATTTTAGGGTCTTGTTGTAGAATGAAAACACCATAAAGCAAAATAAACACATTTCACACATTGCTACAGAGAAAGAAAAGAAATGTGATACTCTTCAATTTGGCTACCCTGCACCCTAACAGTAGAATCAGAAGTGTTTAATGTAGTTGTAATCGGTGCAATAGTGACAAACCCCTCATATTGCAGGCCCCAAAGTAATTATTATCAACATGGGAGGATTTGAGTGTATGGTGCTCTTGATACATGTTCAATACAGTGAAGACTATAACTGTTATATGTAAAATATATTGTAGGTATACAGTTAAATTTATTGATTTTGAAACGAATTAAAGGATGAACTACAGTGTACTATAAAAAACAAAATCTAATAATAATAAGAATTTGAATTATACAGATGATCAGTACAGAAAGGCCCTCCAAGAAAATTGCACCAAATAGTTGGAAATCTTAAAAATGCCTCTGAGTAGAGGGCTTCCAAGGATAAAAAAATTAGTTCATGAAGACTATAATTTGGTCAATGTGTTACAAGTACGTATATAAATTACTTTTAATTTCACTGAAAAAATAAAATGTAATTCAGCATCAATAAATAACATTGTTTGTGTTGTGTTGTAACTGTCTGTCTTCACTCACACACACTACTACTACTTTACTGTCACTCGGTATCGAGTAATACGATCATCCAGCTATGATAAAATAATGCGAGTTATTAAGGATTGTCACCTTCGCTGTTGAGCTCTAAGATGACTGGAGAAGCCGATATGGGACCGGCAAGGCCATCCACAGATGTTGTACGTGTGGAGGGCTACATCTAGTGCGGGAAGGGCGGCAGCAGCATCTTTCCGGCGTTGGTGCTTGTCTGCCTCGGTATGCATTCGGGCTAACTCGTAAGTATTGACACCTCGTGTGGTGCTCCTCCAAGTGTTACGGCATGGAGTGATCGTCTCCCAGGTGAGGGGGTCGATTTGGCACTTTTTCAGGTTTGTCTTAAGACTATCCTTATACCTTTTCAGTTGCCTGCCAGCGTTAGGTTTACTATTCGTTAGGTGACTGTAAAGTAAGCTGCCTTGGCAGTCTACTGTCGTCATGCGGGTAACATGGCCAGTCCAACGTAGTTGTTCATGGATAATGGTAGCCTCGATGTTCCTACAATTGGCGTCAGCAAGAATACTGGCATTTGTTCTCGTCTTCCCAGCGAACTCGGAGGATGGAACATAGAGTACGTTGGTGAAAGTTTTCAAGTTCCTTGAGGTGCCTTTTGTGTGTGATCCATGTCTTAGTGCTATTTAGCAGGATGGGGAGGACCACTGCTCAATATATGTGCAACTTTATAAATAATTTCAGTTCCCTACAGCTGAAGTCACAGGTACGGAGTCAGCCAGAGGCTTGAGACACACATCTGATCCGATGTTGAATATCTTCATCAATGTCCGCTGTGGTGGACAGGTGGGAGCAGAGATACTGAAAGTGAGTAACAATAGTGAAGGTAGTACCATTAAGCTGGATGGATGATGAAGGTGTGGTTGAACCAGGGGCAGGCTGAAAGAGAATTTGAGTCTTAAGTACATTCACCTTAGTGTGAGCAACGAGGGTGAGGTCGTCTGTATATTGAAGTTCAGTAATGGACGCTGCCAACACCTTTGTTCCTGCCTGGAGTCATCTCATGTTCAAAAGATCCTTCATCCGGTACTGGATGCTCACCCCTCTGGCTAAATTGGCACTGGCACGAGTAAGGAAAGCAGCCAGGAAAATGGAAGAGAGAGTTGGTGCCAGTACACACCCTTGTTTTACCCCCGTTTGGATGGGGAAGAACTCAGAATGGGTGCCATTGTGCAGGACACTGCCATTCATGCCATCATGGAGTTGCCTCACAATGGCTATGAATTTTGGTGGGCAGCCAAAACAGCTGAGGGTCCGCCAGAGGGCTTACCTGTTGACTGAGTCGAAGACCTTGGTAAGGTCGATGAAGGCCATGTACAGGTTCTCTGCACTTTTTCTGTATCTGGCGGGCAGCAAATATCATGTCAGTGGTGCCACGTGATGGTCTAAAGCCACATTGAGATTCCGGGAGGAAGTTTTCCGTCTCAGGAAGAAGTCTGTTTCGGAGGACTTGGGCGATAATCTTGCCAGCTATGGATAACAGCGAGATCCTGCGGTAGTTGCCACAGTCACCCGACTGATAAACTGTGTTTATCAGTCCTTGTTCGAGATGATCTCTGCACACATGCACACACACTAAGTTTATATTCACTTACCTTTGAAACTGAGGACAACATCACAAATGAAGTTTTATGATATCTTTCCCATACATAAATAAAAAAGTTTGGATATTTTAATGCACTTATTTTCAGTTCTGATTTGTGCATATTATTTCAATACTGAGTATTTTTCTACCCAATCCCTTGCAGTTGCCTCATTTCTTGTGCAGATAAACTCAAATAAACTATTAAATTTATTATGAATACTTCTATGTAACTTCTTTTCATTTGTAATTTTCATAATTTAAAAACACTCTTAGTCTATACTTACAGAATAACTTTCATCAACAAGTGTATGCCGGTCACGACAAACCATCAATATGTAACTGAGACATTGTCACAAATGAAAACAAATAGATACTCACTGGTACACTGGTAACCCTGTGGTGCTATTCCCCAGATAATGAGGCCACAATGATTACAGTAGGTTACACTGTAATATGTATGTTGATTGAAGTGGTGGTCTCTGTACACTTGCTGTGGATAAAAATTATATATATTAGTTAATCCCCTTTTGTCGACAACATTGTGTTAAGACTTTCACCCAAAAAAATTTCATGCTTAAAACTTATCCGTATGTCTGCCTAGTCATGAAAATGTTCATATACCTATTTATCCCGTAAAAAAAAAAGTAGCCCTTGGAGTTAATATAATTTTCATAAGGTCTGTTTAGAACTCTCATCTATAAGACTACTGGAGGCACTTACAGTAAACATGAAAAAAAATTTTTAACCAGTATTCTCCTTGATGAGCACTCCAAACCAGTTATTTGCTTAGGTATCACACCAGCTGTCAATCCACACATATGAACCTAACCTAAAAGGCCAGACCCATAAGGCTGGTAACTGCATTTGCATAAAAGATCCAACAATGAGGCTGTCACACAATCTGGTCTCACAAACTCAGAACTCCCCAAGAAAGTTATATTTTGGGCCTCACCTGACCACAAATAATCCTCCTCCCAGAAGAAGAGGCAAACATTTGGCATGCTCTATGATCCAACTTTCTGGAAGCACATGAGGGTCTAACCTCCCCTTCATCAGAAAAGGTATGATCAAAATAATAGACATACCGGGAGTTCCTAAAAAAGGCCTGGCCTTAGGTTTTTTGTACTTGCAGTTTCTTCACTACCATCCACAGAAAGGACATTGGGTGCACAATAACCTACTTGCTCTGTGACAAAATAAAAGCTAGCTTCCCCAAAAAACACTATTTTCATTTTAATTAAACATCAAAATAGATTCCCTGCTGTTTATCCCCATCTTATGGCATGATTAAATTACACATGCTATTTCAGCTCCTTGTTTCTTTATCATTCAAATCTAATTTGGCAATTAATGACAAAAGATTTTGTCTCAATATATCTTATCACATAGATAATATTATAACAATTCACACAGATAAGATTATCACGGATGATGAAGTGATTTTTATATCATGTCTGTATAAAGAAAAACATAAATAGAGTGAGCAGACACATTCTGTTTTGTAACATATCCATTCACTTCCCCATTAACACATCACAAGGCCCACTAGATACTTCAACCTTTGGAATTGTACACAAAAAAAATAGTATAGGTGTAGGAAAATGACTGCAAAACAAATGCTTTTTGGCTGGTCTACCCATTAAGTATAAGATTCAACACCACATCTTACACTAAAACCCAAGAGCAATAAACTAATGACTGGATGAACTGTATACAGGAAGCAATAAAGAAACACACACACCAATATATGGTGTAATAAATTTGCCAATTGACAAATATAACCATAGTAAGTACAGTTGCAGAAATGTGTTCCTACACCCCCTGTGGTAACCCCTGGTTCTAAACGGCCAACCTATATGACCTATAGCAAACCTATCTACCAATCACGTCCATCGTTACACGACCAATACCCATTCTTTCATAAACAGTGATACTACAAAAAAATATAAAACAACTCAATGTTAATGATCACTATAAACAACTTAAAACTAATGATAGCCCAACATACTATCAAGAGAAACATATAGGACACATTACCTTTTTACTCCCCCTGAAAATTTTACTTCTGAGTGGTCGTTCTTTACTAACAAAGAGTGGACATCTATCGATGAGCTGATGAGCTTGTTGACTTCGCACCCCGTAGTATTTCAACAGGATGGTGGCTAGACTAGAGGCTGTTACAATCATTTGGTCTGTGGCATTCTTCAGGTCATCCCTGGAAAAGGATATATACTGTAGGTGAAACACTATTTACTGTACATACAAAAAAATTCCTTCCACATCAGATTACAGTATACAATAAGTGCCAATACATAAACAGCAGACCCATGATAAAGAACAATGTTCAATTCCATAAGGTCTCATTCTTAACCCTAATTTTTGCCCTAACCTATTTTTTTTAAGATACCAGACAGTTTCTTTTAAGCAGTTATTAATAATTTATTAAAAAAATCTAAAATATTCTAAACAAAACTGGCTCAATAAAACATGATGTCATCTGGCTACAAGGTTGCACTACCATCTGTCAAGGTTCAGATGCACAGAGCACTCATGTGGGAAATTCAGGTGGGCACTCATTAACGTATGAGGCATTTTTATGCTGCTAAGTAAACAAAGATTACAATACCAGTACAGTAAAACATCAATATTTCAGAAATATATGGGCTCTACACTATAATGAAATAAGGAAATCCCTATTACAGTAGAATCCCAGTTATCCGGGCAACCGGTAGATTCAACTAACTGGCACCAAAATGAAATAATAATGGTAAAATAAAAATTCCTCCAAAATCAGCTAGAATCGTAAGTTTGAATACTGCATACTGCACGAAACAGGGACGAACTGCCATATTTATTGCTATGATAAACAATAAAATCAATGCATAGCACATATTTTACGTACAAAATAGTGCTACTTCCACACCCAAACCATCCTCTAGAGTCTAGGTGACTCGACACAGTTTAGGCAGTCAATCGGCTGACTCATAGACATGTGGATGCTGCACTGGTTGTATGTATGGCATGGCATCACATCAGAAGGGAGCGTGGCCATGCAGTTATAGCCCAGTAACCCACCGCTTCCACCTACATTCACTTCCCACATACAGTATACACATCGATGCTCTTCATTTTTCTTATTTTATAGTTTTATATATCGTATATCACGACAGATTAGGCGACCTTTGGATAAGATGAGGCCAAAATTTCAGTCTAAATTTCATGGTTTTAGCTCATATCTGTGGTATTAGATGACTTCCCAAACTACCAACCACCTATGGTAAAGTTTAGGTCAATGACCATCAAACCACCAATATGGTGAAAAATTTAATGTATTAAATACCTAAAATGTTCAATGTATTACCAGTAAATCATTTGAATTATGTTATCAGAGAGGCATAAAATAAGGTAAATACCATGTATAGACTACAGTATCTTCGGAAGTAGTACGTTAAGGTCGATGACCGTATTGTTTACATTCCTACATGTCGTGGTGACGCAATCAACCTTGACTCAGCTGTGTGATTTCGTGATCAAAGCTTGGGATAAAGTGAAAGTAGAGACTGTAATAAAATCATTTACAAAATGTAGTATCTCTAATGCAATGGATGGTACTGAGGATGATTTGTTGTGGGACACTGACGACAAGAACGTAAATAACAAGAATCGGGATGTTTATGACGAGTTCTTTGCTTCATATGATGAAGTTGGTGAATTTGATGGATTTTAAAGGTATGTGGTTTTTTTTGTTTTTGTTTTTTTACAATACTTTCATTGGTTTAACACCATATTAGTATATGGATTTTAGTGAGAAATAAAAATTTTAAACACTACAACAGCTGTTTTAAGATGGACGACATCAGCTACCTTCGCTGACCCACACCGTTAAGGTAATCTGTACGGAATTTTGAAATAACTTTTTGTATTTTCAATTTTATATTTGGCCTATAAGACGACCCCTGGTTTTGGGGTGGTTTTTTTATTATTCAAGAGTTGTCTTATCTACCGGAATATACGATATTTTATTTATTTCTAACCACATTGGGGTATTGTAATGATTTTCAACAACTTTTATAGTTTCATTACAATAAACACAGCAGACAGCAGCTGGGCTGGCGGGTCGGCAACACAGTTATAGCCCACCACCTCCACACATGTTCACTTCCCACACAGAATACACATCCATGCTCTTTATATTTCTTATTTTATAGTTTTATATAATTTCTTTATCTATAAGCCGCATCACATTTGCGAGGTCAGCCTGGAGCACCATGGATTATAGGATTTATTGGAGGATGCCAAGAGTGAGTTTCAACTAACCAGAAACTCTTTATCCGGCACCTCTCGATCCCAGGAGGTGCCGGATAACTGGGATTCCATAGTATCGTATTTTATGGCATATAAGAGGCACGGCCATGTAAGACGCACCCCCCATTTTAGCAGGGAGTATTTAGGAAAAACTTTGTGTGTATTTTCTTCCTGTATCCAAAGTTTTCTTAAAACAATATATGCAGTAACTGTGAGGAATAAATAAAAATAATACCAGTAAATAAGTTACAACAAAAAACTGTATTGCCAAACAAGTAAATAAAAGCCAAATGAAAGTTTAACACAGTCGCCATTTGCATATACAACTGTACTCCCTGCTTCACCATAGCAATGGAGACGCTACCTCCGCCAATTCCCTAGCAACGCTACCCACCCCCTACACTCTGCACCCTCCTCCCCTCCCCCACTGAGCCAGCTAACTCGTGTGCAAAGAAATTTACTGTACAGTATATTCCCTTTACATGTTTGCCCTTCAGACAATTATTTCTTTTACTTTTTCACAATATGTATACAGTATAGGATGGTGTGTGCATGTAACTGAGTAAAAATAAATGAAGAAAATTACATATATCTACCTGAAAATACGAGTTGAAAAACAATCATAACACCTCACAGCTTGGCCCAGTAGCCTAGTGGTTAAAGTGATGAGTCTAACCGTGTTACAATGCCGCTAGCAATGATAACAGATGCAAATGTAAAAAGAAAGTTATCTGTAAATATTCATTCATATCAGATATTTGTAGACTGAAAAATAAATGTTTCAGTACAGCATTAATAGATTGTAATGCTTGTAAGAGTTCAGAAATGGTTACTGCTTAGCTGTCTCTGAAGAGTTGGGTGTCTGCCGTACGGACGTTAATCATCACAGGTTATCATCATCAGTACAGTACAGAGAAGTTATAGATTGAACTTTTACATCTACAATATTTTTTAATTAATTAAAAATAATAATAATTAAGTTTAAGTAAGCAATAAAATATTTTTAATTCTGGAGTTGGGTTGGGTAGAATTTAGCCTACTGGAGACAGCAACTGGGGGATTCATTAGCTTGCGGGAGACCTTTAAATTCACATATAGGACGCAAGCTGGTTTTTTTTAGCCATTTTTCAGACAAAAAAGTGCGTCACATGTGGTAAAATACTCTCATCGGTGTTCTGAGTTTATTGCTCATATTTTATGTCTATCATTATTACTCTATTATTTTTTGTGGGGAGAGGGGAGGAGGGGATGTTCTGGTATTTATCTGAATTTATAACAAAGGTAGTTACTGATATTAATGTCCACTTATCATACATCCCATTAACCTGTGTGTGTACAGGAATGTGTTTGTGCAAACTTATATATTTCCAATATACTTTATAAACCTTTTACTGATACAGTGCAAGGTAAACCAGAAAGATGCTGATCTTCCAATTCTAAACATTCAGTAGCTAGTAGGTTACTCCATCCCCTTGCAAGACATTGTTCCACTGAAGGGTTGTTCCACCACCAAGTGTAACCACTAGTGTACTCATTTATTGTTGAATGTAAAAGGAAGGAAATGAATCCCCCCACCCCCCACTATTTTTTCCTATAATAATGCAAGGTGGCTGGAGTCAAGACCATAAATAAATACCTGTACACAATTTTTCTGTCACTCAGCATTATCAATAATGCTTATTGCTGTACATAAATTTTTTTTCTTTTGGTACACTACTTCCACAAGAAGGCCTCACATATATGCAGCTACTCCTCGACTTACGACATACGACCGCCTCAGTCGTACCAAAATTTTGTCAAATTACGTATTTTCGAGTCCCAACATTAGTGATTGCGCTGTGTAATGACAAAATTTTTGTTTGTAATTCACTTTAAAATGGCTGGCAAGCATAAAAGTGAGTTTTGTGGTGCTGAGAAGAAAAAGGGACACTCATTTTAGATTTTCTATGTAATATTTAAGCATTTTCGACTTACGACCTGGCTATGGGTCCCTAACCCCGTCGTAAGTCGAGGAGCAGCTGTACTTGATTTAACCCAGCCACTTCACACAACACAACCCAGCATCAACCCTCAGTAGCAAAACCCTCCTCCCAAAACCACTTGACACCACACTCTCCAGTTACAAGAGAAATCTTTTTTGACAGGTATACACTCAAGGTAAATCAAAGATTTTATGATAACAATGAAAAACTGCAATTTTTACTTACGACACACTCTCAAGACAAGGCACTAGGAGATGTTCCACAATATTTAGTTCTTTGGTTTTGTTGTGCATACTCTCCTCCAACACATGGTCTTTAGGCCCAAATATAGACCCAAGGCCAGCACTTCGTTTGCTGCGGAAGTCTGCTAATTGCTCATTTAAATCTTCCCGGCAGCGTTGACGTGCTTTCCAAAATACCTTTGAATATAAAAAAATGTACATTAGCTGAAAATACACATAGTATTTCTCGTAGTAAATAATACAATACAGTACTTAAAAATTACACTTCACACTCATACAGCAAAATCCTGATACAGTAGCTTGAAATTTACTACCTTGGAATCCTGGAAATCTTGGACCCCCTGTCAGATATGCTAAGATATTTTTGTATGGAATGGAAACCAGTTACTGGGTATGTGTCAAAAATGGCACACTAAAAGTACTCTTGAAATTCAGGCCAGCAGCATTAAATGGGTTAATACATACCAAATTTTCAGACATTATATTCTAAGTTAATGATCATCACAAGGCAACCAGGTGATCTACCTGGTTAAGCTTAAAGAAATTTGGGATTGCTTGGATAATTCCATGTGATCCAACAAAAATTTATGAGATTCTGGTCACCCAAAATGTACCCACATATTCCATTGCTGTGAGGAAAAGCAACAACATATTGTTTGCTCCTGCTCTGCACATTTTGCCAGCAATTTTTAGTGTTACACATATTATACTTCAACCTTAAACTACTTGTGTGTGGGATCTCCTCAGTGCTGAATAAAATCATCTGGCATTAGACAAATAAAATATTAAAAGTACCGTCCCCATAGTGAAGGGGTTAACTTTCTTCTTTAAAGCCGATATATCTAACTAAGATGGGATAAGCATCTTAGTTAGAGAATACATTTCATCTATACAGCACTAGGAAATTGCTCTTTCTTGGAAAATCACATTTTCTAGACTCCCCCCTTCCCCTAATTCATCATAACCTATCAAAGTTTTATTGTATTACTGCATACATACTTGGTAATAAACTGGGGTGTTTTAGCTTTTTTTTTTTATCGAGTCTTGGGAGCTATCCTGAAAAACATTGAACATCAAGTTTAACCCATATCATACTGTGTAAATCAGAGACAACTCCTAAAGATTTATAAGAACATGGAATTCCAAACACAAGAGTTTTTTCTCTGTAACAAGAATGCACATTGGGATTCTACAAAGTAGCAAAAAATAAATAAATAAATAAATAAATAAATAAATAAATAAATAAATACGTACATAAATAAATAAAATAAATAAATAAAAATACTTGCCATCCTATATTTTCCCGAGGCACAGGAAATATTTTCTAATTTGAGTAGACCTTGTATTTATGGAGTACTGCATGTGTTAGTGAAATATTTTGGATTATGGCCTTTCTTCATTGCAGATTGTACAATCTTTCCTATTAATTACTGTTGCCAGTCAAAGCATCTATCTGCATTTTAACTGACAATTTTAGAATTCAACCACAGCCTTTTTCAACTCTACATGTAGAGCAACTTTTAGCACTGCCTTAAGTTGCCAGCTTTAAATTTAAGCTTACTTAACCTTTTTTGGACATATCCTGTATCATATGTGGTCTGAATGACCAGAATTTTGTGGCCCCATTCACAAAGGGTAAAACTCTACAAATCAATATAATGAGGAAAAACCTGCCAATGCTAACAAGCAACATCCTAATAACCCTCACACACACACATACAGTATAATTCCTTATTCCACTTTTCCATCTTGCTTCAGATACATTTATTCCTACCTTTTTTAACTATTCATTAGATAGTCTTAAAAAATTGGAGTAAATGTAATATTCTTACCTTTCGAAGAATTTCTTCTTTGTCCAATTCATTTTGCAAGGTTTCGTCAATTTCATGCAGAACACACTCTTCAACATTACTGAGGCGAAGAGGCTGAAAAATAAACATTCAGTTAAAATATAAGGATTTCCCTACAATAAATAATATTTACAAATCATTCAACATAAACAGTATCTAAAAGGATCAATTTTGGTTCAGCTATAGGCTGAGATTTCTTTCACCAGCCTTTCAAAGATTATCTTAGCCTTTCAAATGATATTGGATTATGAATTGATTAAAATAAAATAAAATTGCTGGTTTGATTAAATATTTCATACTAATGGACCCCCTGAGAGGCTGGTACTCCTTACAGCTAGGTGTGCTTTTGTCCACACCCTAATCACCAAAAATGTAAAATGACTAAGTAAACGTACATTAAGCCCTCTGCATTTGCAAGGGTTACATGCCTGGAATACCCTGCACATGTAGATACCCTATTCAATAGAAATAAAGAGGGTTAGGCTCCTGGGTCAGACTGAACATAGAGGGAGGAATGCATAAAATCCCCATTTGTAGCCAAGGAGACAAGCAAATGATCTGCAAAAGAGAAGCCACAGCCAAGCACCCTTTGAGCAGAGCCTAACAGTGCCCAGATGACATGTGTATGTATATTATGTATGTTGTACGTATACTATGTAAGTACCCCATTTATATACATTACTTATCTAGTCAGTAGCGCGTGGCAATGCCCCTTTTTCATGTCACCACACGCTTAGATAATGTGCCTGGCGACATCTGGAAGCTGCTAATGTACCACTTGCCACATGTCGCCTGAGAGGTCAGAGAGAGGTCAGTTGACCCATAGAGAGTGTAGGGACTACCGGCGCTGGGATTGCGCACCTCTGTACTTCCGTCAAATAGAACCTACAATACTCTAAAGGTGTTTGTGTTCGCCCCTGTAGTTAGAACCGAGTACCCAGAACCCCTACAACATGTAATGCTTGACTTGGGGGATATAAACACTGTTTGGTCATAAGCATTGATGCAAAGCTGCTTTCTCACCTAGATAGTTCTATTTTCATGTCTGGATCAACTGGTTGTCTCAGAGACCTATGACACAATCAAAACCCACCTAACCAAGACAGGAATTATGCTCCAGCCTTCAATTCCTCGCCAATCTTTAAGGGACTACTTTAGAGAGGAGGGTCACTCTCTCATCTCAGTGGCCCATAAAACAGAGGACTAAACTGCCTTGGAGATTCCTTCTTATGGTCAAGAAAAAAGAAATACCCAAAATAAGTTGCCTATGTTCTGTGGTAGCAAACACTGTTCTACATAGATTAGTCATTTGCCAAGTGAATCAGCGATTAGTTGAAGTGATACTTTTGCCACGATCCAATTTTCCTTAAAAAGCATATGATGTATCAAGTAACTGCATTTTCTCCAAACTCAATTTATCATCAGATGAGTGTTACAAGAGAACCATGATTTGATATCCGCTTCAATTTTAATCTCGTCCAATTGGCACCGACGCCATTCTAACGTCACTCAAAAATATTCACCAGAAATCGAGTAATTATGAGTGATGAGTGAGATTTTGGCAAGTCACTCTTTGAATCATTCTCTCTCTCCAATGCTTATTATATATATGGCAACCCCTACTAGTGCAAGGGTGGTGAGGCCTGAGCACAACAGTAGTCTCCCGGCAGTCAAGCCGGAATGGGTTTTTTTTAACGGGAATTAGCCCACCCGGGCACAGGTCAAACAACCCACAACGGCACCTGTGGAGCGCACTTTCCTTTTAAATTTTACCCCTTATCCCTCTCCCATACTCCTCTCCTTCATTGTACAGTAATATCATCTGTAAAACTGTTTGTGAAGTATTTAATAGTTCTTACTTCTTTTTTTTAGTTCAGATTCAAAATTGAAGCCACTGTTTGTGAGTGAAGTGTGAACTGCTGGGGATGGATATTTTTTTATTCTAAAATTGTTACAGCCAAACAATACATTCTAAAAACCACCATAACACACCCAAACACTTATATGAAAGATGTCTGTGGCTATACAATAAGTATAAAATAAGAAAAAACTGAAGTGGAAAGAGAATTATGTTCATTTGGTGCCAGGTTAATGAACTATTATCATAAAAATAATAAATTTTCCTAATAAAACACAAAAAAACACTCAACCCCAGATGAGTTGTCTAGTTCGTTTTCATATACTGTACGTGCAAACAGCTGATCAGCCAACAAGCTCTGACATTTGCCTGTCTCTATGTAACTTATTTATGTATTTATTTATTATTTGGTATAATGGTGTCACTCACATGATGATTATGAGAAGGGAAAGAGCTCTTTATGTAATATAGAATTATTTTTTTATTATTATATTATTTTATTTTATATGAGGAAATGAACCACAAAGTCAAAACCTCAAATTGTAAAACAAATGCTTATGAAAAAAATAAACAAAAAATAAAGAGATCCATATGAGCTTTGCATGAGAATAAAGTTTAAAAACAAAATAAAAGGAAAATTTTTCTATGCAATAATGAATGAATAACAAATGGTGCGAGGCAGTTTTATATTGTTCCACACAGAGGGAGTCTATTGTCATAAAATAGGTGTGACACTGGTTGTTTTGTCTTTAATGAATATAGCTTCTAATACTAAATAATAAAACACACTAAATACTTACTGCTCCAGGTAATAAAAAACTAGAAGTAATTTCATATGCCCATCTCTTCATTTCCTTCCCAACTCCTTCCTTGTACAGGTGCGTTATTACGTAAAAGAACTGGAAAAAAAATAGTATGTACAGTATAAGAATAATTCTATGGGTGAAACACTACAGTAAGCAAAACATTATGTATAAATAAAGTAATTAAACACTACAACAGAGACAAAATAAGTGCATTTTACTCTCTTTTAAACCTTTTCCCAATATAATGCAGAATGAGTGGCATTAAGATTAAAAACTCCCGCTGTTCATAATTATTCACTCATTTCCACTGCTGTATTAAATGTGTTCTACTATGGTACTGTACCCTTGTTCTTCACAACACACAGAAACACCCACCATCATCATGTCATTCCTACTTTGACTCATTCATTAACAATGGTAACATCTCTTCCAAATCACCAGCTAGAGCAGTGTAATCAGTACACAGCAGATGAATGAACTCCAATTTGCATTCAGTATCATTATTCAATAAACATGCACCCCTTTCAATTACTCTTGCTTTCAACTCTCTCACTAACTCATCCTGACACACTCTTTCAACACATACTTAACTCTCCCTGTAAAACTCTGCACAAAAGTCAACACTTTCCCATTTACCCCATACATTTCTAATACATCCGACATCACATTTAAACTATTCTAATATTTTTTACTTGATCCATATATGCCATAAAGTCGTTATTTATAAACTTTTCACCGACACTCTTAAATTTAAACCTTTGACCCATGTAACCTTCTTTTATTGAACCAATATTCTCAATTTTTGCATTAATTTTGATCACCTTCCCTGTATACACAGGAACTATACAAGGTTGCTGTCATTCATTTCATGCAAATGGGAGGCAAGTCGGCTGACATTTATAGAATGCACTGTTTTGGTGGTGGAATAAAAAAAATGTAAATCTTATTGACTGAGATCAGTCAAGATTATAGTGAAAATGGCCATCACTACACTTGACTTACTTCATATTTCCAAATGTAAGGTTAGATATACAGTAGTTGTGGACAAATAGAATTTACCAGGCAATGAGGGAGGGAGGTGGTGTATGGGAGGGTAGAGGGAGGTGGAAACTTGGCAATCTCACAAAGAGGTGGCAATTGAAAGTCTGTGATTTTCTTTCCACGCCACAAATAGATTTATTTTAGTTTAATTATGAAACAGGGACAACCTACACAACTGTACAGTTAGGTGAAACAAAGTGTCCTGGGCTTGAACCAGATAGTTGGTGAGCACTAGATTCACTTGGTCAGGTAATGAAAAAAGTGGAGCTGGGAGAAAGGGTTAGCTTGGCTGGAGACACAATGGCAATCATTGTAAATGAAATAATAGGTGAAAAGAAATGAACAGAGGAAGAACTGTTAAATGAGAAAAACTGGGGAATATATAGCACTGAATGAGTCAACACTGCCTCTGAAGATGCTCCAGTGTTTCCATTTTCTGTGGTTTTATCAAGATTTATCTTGTGAATGTTTCCATTGTAGATCTACAGGAATTAATATTAAGTGTAAAGTATGGACTTTGATTGCAATAAAAAAGAAGAAACTTAGAATGAATAAAAACCTTGTGGGAGGACACATAATACATTGAAAAACAGAAATTTAGAGGGCAAATTAGTTAGTTAAGGTGGTACAGTATGGATATACTGTATTGAAAGAATGGGAAATAAAAGATTGGTAAAATGTGTTTAGGTGCATGGCAGGTAAACCAGATGATAACCTTAGGACTGTACTATGTTAGGTGAACAACATTAAAAAGGAGATCTATAACAGCAGTCAGAGTGAATAAATTGGAGGAAAGTCCAGTCACCTTACACCTCCTTATATACATTAACTATGAACCAAAAGTCCTTCAACCCTAAAAATCTAAAACCAATCTGTGGGTTAACTTTTGAGAAATTGCCTTCCCCTAATAACTCCCCCACAGGATAATTATTAACATCCTACAATACCATTCAAAATAGTACGAGTCACAAGACTCTTGAGATGATGCTCTTCCTAACAATTCTAAATTTAACATGTGAATGTTTTATCTACAGAAAAGTTTCAACAGCAACTCATAAATGGTGCACATCAATACATACCAAACTGGATGAGTCACAATTTGAGATGACATAATTCATAAAGACAGCAAGATAAGCGTTATGGTTCCATAGTTTACTCAAAGCCCGGAATGGGCCGTGGTCTTCAAGCTGCAATGAAAAAGAGTAAAAATACATGTGCATGTCACTTATGTTTGTTACTACTGTATAACAGAATAAATCGCATTTAACTGATCATGACAGATGTCAATTTATCTAATGGCAGCACAAAGTAGAATAAATAAACCAGTCCAGATATGACACTTTTATCAATTAATATAAGAAAACATAGTAACTTAACAAACCAAAATCTACCCCCAAAGAAACAGCAGAAACAATATCCAAATATCAACTTTCTTCTTTTGTTTGTGGCTCATCAGTTTAAATTTCTAATAAATCACTATTTTTTTTTTTTAATATTCCCGTAATCCTTGTGTGATATACTGTACTCTAAAGTATGTATGAACAAAATGGCTGGTGGCTGAGATTTCTAGTTATACTTCTATTATCAATTATCATTATACTTCTCTTTCACTTTTGTGTAAGAAGCATCAGGGGACACAGGAACCTCAAAAAGGGTTTTAACAGAGGAAAGTGATGCAAAACAAATATAAAATGAGAAAGAAAAGGGCACCACATCCACCTTCTCAAATAAACCTACAAACAAACCTTTCCCCCTGATATAAATTTTTTTACTATTTATACTTACAACTTCAGTGTCAGAAAACTCTTCATCTTCCATACTAAGAATGGGTTGTGTTGGGCAGAGTCCAATTGCATTTGTACTGGAAAGCATCTGGTATATGACAGAGCAAAAGAGAGTAGTATTTGTATTATAAACACACACTATATAAATTCATTAAATTATTTACAATATACTTAAAGAAATATCATCAGAAATACAACTACAGGTTAATAAACTTAATTACAATTGAACAGGGATAAGGCATTTAAAGCATAACTACATACTGTCCATTATTAAACCTATTTATAATTAAATAAAGGAAGTGATATTACAAAAACAAGTAAACCAATTCATTATTTTGGCTATACACTAACAAGAGGAGTAGGGGTTTAAAAACAACTACAAAGATTACTTACTTTATAATTTAACATAATAATTAATAATAAAATAAAAAAGTAAATAAACAACCAATTCATAAAGTACAGCATTCCTAATTACATAACTAAACAGACTTAAATTACAATAAATAAATTGGCAAAATATAACAAAAGAAACTGATACACTGGAAATATCAAGAAAATGCTGGGTTGTCTCTAGTGCCATGTGTAAGCCAGATACAGTACAGTACTTATTTAAACCTTTGATGTGGAATACTAGAGCAAAACAATATTATTACAGTACCTGTATACTGAACTAATTCACTACAGTACCAAACCCTCTACTAAATCCCTCCTAAACTATCTCAAATACTGCATTCAAATACAGAACTGTAATAATAATAATGAAATAAAAATAATAACACTAATATTAGTGACTTTACTTTACCTTCTTATGTAGGGGAAATCTTGGTTTTCATTTCCAGAGTTATGCCCTTTATACATGGAAAACCCTTTTTTTAAGCACTGGTATTTAGACCAAGGAATTGTTATTTTGGGATTAATTTGATACTTTTGGCTTCAGAATAGCTTGGGCTTTTATATAAGGTAAAAGAAAAATAAGAGAAAACTAACTATAAAACACTAATTTTTGGCTCCTAATGCAAAACAAAAATCCAAAAACATCTTTCCCACTTCCTAGCTCAAAAAATTCCCAGGTCAAACTATGCTCCTTATACCACTAGATGCAGAAAATTGTGAGGTTTCCAATGGTGCAATCGAATTTTGGCTATGGATTATACTTTTGTTGTTAATTAAGAAAATTTGAAAATCTCAGAGAAAGGCACTGAAAACAAATTCTCGTACACATGCTATAATCATTATCAAATTGCATTGTAATATGTAATAAACATTTATTTTTTAAAGAGATAGATAGATTTTTTGGGTTTTCTTATAACATGTATGATTAGGTGGTAATTAAATTAACACACAAAAATTATGGGAGTAAATTTCCCCCTTTCTCCTTACCGCATAGGAAATAAAAAAAAATATGATTATTATATAAGCTTCAATGACTGTGTGAGTGTGTAGTGGATAAGATGTTGGTGTTCAGTGATGATCAGGGAGGATCCAGGTGGGGTCCTGGGATTCATCAGAAAATTCCAATACTTTTTCTTTAATGCAGTATTGTACTCAGGCATTTTTGTATAATAAAAAGTAATTACTAATGACTTCGAATATCATCTAATATCATCAAGTGCACCTGGCTACTAAATGGCCCCAAAATGACCCATATTATTGGTCAGATTTCACAAAATTTTCTAGGGGGCTTGCTGTGCTTGCCATGTCTCCCCCGTTGATATTCACGGATCTGCCCCTGATGATGTGGATGTTTAGTGGATAAGATGTGGATCTGTTGGATATGTAATCAAGTTCAAGTACCTGTAAGTTGCATCCATCATCGGTCTCATTACAGTATAATTGCGCATCTTCTTAACTTTAAGTTCAGTTTTATTTATTGATTACCTTACACTTTTTAGTTTTACATAAACAATTCATTAATTCTACATGCTTAACTACCCTATTTCTTATTTAGATAATACTGCAATTCAAAATTTATACATTACAGCAAAATCCCATAATTCATACCCCTCAAATTCGAAGTCACTCATAATTCGTAAGGTTTTGCTGTTGTGAAATATATATTACCCTAAACACAGTGGTAGACCGTGCTTTAATCAGGGTAATCATATATGGATACCCTGTATTTCATAATACTGTATACCAGTAAGAATGAAATTTATGATAGTGAATGAAAGGATAGACTGCAGATGTGTTTTATCTTTCCTCTGACCATTCTGTAATATTGTTTCATTGGGTTGAAACTGTTTTTAAAGAAATCTACATTATGCCTAATATAATTGTGTAAAATGTTGAAGAATAGCAGATTATCATTTTCATATTTTCTTGATACTCCCTAATATATTAATTTCAATTGTTATATTATGTACAGCTCACCATTATATTTTAAATCGGTTACAGTACTTGTTAAAGTACAGTACAGTAATTATTAAATGGACACTTCCACAGGGAAGAATGCTTCTGGAACAGCATTACTATATACAAATACACATTCTTGTTGCAATACAATTGGGTCAGCATTGACAGATCAATACATTCCAAGGAGGATATAATTACAGCCTTTAGATGTAAAGAACATTCCATATACACAGAAAATAAGGAAAGGATATAGTCATTATAAGTGGTGTTAGAAGCAAAGAAATATAAAAATGTATTTACAGTCATGATTCACCTTAATGTTGAAAGGTTTATTCATGTTACAGTAAAATCCCCACTAAGTATGCCTTCAAAAGAAGTGATTTCTCCAAGAAGCAGTACAGTGAACCCTCAAAGATTCGGACCTGGTAAATCTGAATTTCGGAAGATTCAGACAAAATTTGGTGGTTCTGGGGGCTAAGAAGCCTCCCTAAGAAGCATTCCCAAAACAGAGTAATGATCATCTTAGGCCCGTGTAACTAAGATGTCAGCGCATGGGACACAGGTGCCCAAGGTGGTAAACATAAAAGGAGTTGTCAGTTGTTGTTTGAGGGAATATTATTTCATTCACTCCAGTAATGATACAATGTTTCTTATTATGTTATTGTAGGTATATGCAGGGTTTATATAATTTGTTTATCACTGTGCCTGGGCTGTCAACATCTTCAAAGACTACAAGATATGTATTTCTCCCATATGTATTCCGTTTGTACACCTGGCAATGGGTACGAGTAAGGAGAGTGAGTGAGTCGAGTGACCGCTAGTTGAGCGTCGTCTGCTCTTATAACTCTCCTCCTTCCCTGCCATATTTCACTGGATTTACCGTTATTATTAGTGTTTACTGATATAATAGTGATTAATCATGGCATTGTAGCCAGGACAGACTCGTCACTGTAACCATCAGACTACTGGGCCAAGCTGTAAGGTGTTATGGGTGTTTTTCAACTCATATTTTGGGGTAGATGGGTGTTAAAAATGCCATAACTTTCACAATGTGAAATTAGTGAGGGAATTTAATGCTGCTCATTATCAGATAAATGAAAAATACCCAATATAATTTTCAAGAATAAGTGAGGAGAAAATTAACTGCCCATCACCTAATGATTGAATGCTTCAAATGATTTGATTTCATTACATATGACATTCTCCAAGAATGCAACTACAGGTACTCCTCGACTTACGACCTACTCGACTTACGACCACCCGGACATACGACCGCCGAAGTAGTAAATTTTTTTTTTTCAAAATGCTTATTTTTGAGTCCCGACGCTGTGTACTGACAAAATTTTTGTTTAAAATGGCTGGCAAGAGAAAAGGGAGAGTTCTCGAGTCCCAACATTAGTGATTGCGCTGTGTACTGACAAAATTTTTGTTTGTAATTCACTTTAAAATGGCTGGCAAGCTTAAAAGTGAGAGTTTTGTGGTGCTGAGAAGAAAAAGAGACACCCATTTTAGATTTTCTAAGTATTATTTTTGCATTTTCGACTTACAACCAATTCAACTTATGACCTGGTCGTCAGTCCCTAGCCCCGTTGTGAGTCGAGGACTGACTGTACTTTATTGCATTATGTGGGGTTTTACTGTATGTGCATTCCTAACCAAGAACCTTTCAATGCTTTCATTTACGAAAGCAACAAAAATGCAATAGATGAAGGATGCATCACAATAGGAAACACAAAGCATAGAACCTGGAGAGTTTAAGCATACAGTATGGTACTTAAAATCATAGCTAAAGTATTAACCATGGAGAAAACAGGCACAATTTTACCATTTGATATACTACATACAAACAATGCTTTACACTAACAGTGCTTCACATTAACAAGAAAAAACAGTGAAAAAGAAAATTTGGAGCAGCCCGAATCTAATCCAATTGAACAAGAATCTGGCTGTCTTCTTCATTTTGGGGCCGAAAATAGCGTTCAAAAAGACCTAAGAAATTCAAGGTGAAAAAATTTTCCATAAGAAAAAAATAATTACTTTGTTTTACAGAAAAATTTAATAGCTTGGAAAGACTGCACTAGGACATTCTAACAGGCTTATTACGAGCAAAGTTGGCTGGTGACACTTACTATGGAAATCAAAACATTGTTCTGGTGTACAGGGTATTCCATTTAAATGGAACTATTGAGAGTAATAAGAACTGAAAAGGTTATTGGTGCTGTTATTCATAGTACAGGTTGCACTTAAAAACCCTAACATCAGTGATCCAAAAACTAAAAAAAATCTGAACAAATCCGAGTGGTGGCATTTTTTACTAATTTAATTTTACCAAACTCATCCTCGTTCACTGAGCTGCCGAGTGATAGCATTGTAGCACACTCAACTGACTAGAGATGTAAATAAATAAATATATTAATACAGGTTGACAACCCTTTATCCGAAATTCCGAAAACCGAAAAGCTCTGAAAACCGAAAGTTTTTTTTTGTGGAACAAAACTTTTTTTTTTTTTTTTTAAACAGGGATTAGCCCACCCAGGCCCCGATGTGGGTCTGGGGGAGCGAAGATGTGATTGTAATACTAATTATAATAATAATAATTATTCATAGTAAATAAAATTTATAATAAAAATACACTAAAATAAAATGATAATACTTATAATACTAATAATAAAATTAATAATAATAATAATAATAATAATAATAATAATAATAACAATAATACTGTATAATAAAATAATAATAATAGAGAAATACAAGAATGAAAAAAAGATAAAAAGTGAGAAACACGACCTAGACCTATGAATTATTATTATTATTATTATTATATCCCCCCCCCCCAGGCCCCAATGTGGGTCAGTGACTTGTGCCCGGTTGGGCTAAAGAAAAAAAAAAAAAAAAATTCTGAAAACCGAAAAATTCCGAAATCCGAAATGCCTCTGGTCCCCAAGGATTTCGGATAAGGGATTGTCAACCTGTAATGCTATCTTCTCTGAGAGTGTATTTATGGTATTCTATTGCCCTCACTAAAGCCCAATTATGTCTTCAAATACTGGAGCACTTTATTCATAGAGTACCCGTACATCACTCTGAAGTTAGCAGCCAACACTTCCAAATCTTAAACCCCTAACATGTGGCCAACGTACATATACACTGGACCCTCGCTTTATGAGCACTCACTATATGCGAATTTGCATTTATGTGGCGACCCTATTTCTACCCAAAATCCATTTCATGTGGCAAAGATTCCCTTTATGTATTCTGTAGAAGATATGGTGCACTACAGTAGACTATTTTAATGATTTTTCTACAACTTTTATCGCATTAATGCTCCAGAAATAGTTGTGAAATGTGGCACTGTGTGCGTGTGTGTGTGTGTGACAACACTCCACACACTTTCACTTTCCACACAAACACCCATGCCCTTCATGTCTTAGTTTATAGTTTTATAGATAGTAATATTATCTTTATTGCTAACCCATCTTAGAGTATTGTAATGATTTTTCCACAACTTTTATAGCATTACTGTTGACTTTTAGAGTTGTGGAACATATCTAATTTTCCCCCATAAGATTAAGTATTCACTATATCGTATTTCCATTGTGTTGTCGCAGAACTCAACCACGGCATAAAGAGGGGGTCTGGCGTGCACGGACGTAGAGCATTGCAGCTAACGTATATGTATGCCATCCTTTCCCGCCATGACTTGGAAAGGCCTATTGACTTCAATGATTACATCTCAAGTTGTGGCAAGCACAGGCAACATTTGGCTGGGCACAAAGACCCCCAGTGTGTCAGAAAGCCTTGGGTCATCATAAAAGTACAGTACCAATAACCTTTTCAGTAATTATTACTCCCTACAATTCTATTTAAATGGAACATCCTATAAATGCCATAGATTATTCTGTACTTATATTGTACCCTAAAATGGAAGGTGCCAACTTGATGATTTTGATTATTTTTTTTTCCTTTCTTTTCAAATTCAATCACAGTAGAGCATTTAAAATTTACTTATTTATAAACTATTATCATGCATATGTTTGTGTTTCAGTAATGGAAGGGGAATATGTTTTAAGGGCCTACAAGGAAAAAACTACACATTTGAGCATGGCAACAGCACTGACCTCTAAACAGAATTCAGTTTACCAAATAATAAAGTAACTTATTCTGCCAGTTGCATTCCTTGACCTTAAAAAGGGTAAATGGAAAAACCAGGACTGTCATGTTACCTGTCCATTTGGGCTGGTAGGGCTTGTAACTTGTGAAGAGAAAGGGCTGACATGATGTGAGCCTGGTTTGGGTGGCAGGCCTGGTAAGGTTGGTCGGCTCGGTAAAGAGGTGCCATGAGGGGAAGGGAGAAGGGGAGCTGAAGGTGGAAATTCTCCCCCACCATCACACTACCCAACAGATACCAATGGAAAGGCAGTTAGTTAAGCACAGCAGGACATAACTAGGTTTACCAGGGAACATATGACTGCTAGCTGAGACAGAAAATCTTTAATTAGTAATAATTTTAAAGTTGTTCACTACAGCATACAATTTCCATTCAAGAACCAATTTCAATGTACAATACAAATATTATTTTGACCAATGACATACCTTACCAAAAGCACAACAACTTCTCTTTGGCACACACAAAATGATTATGCCAATTTGTAACTAACTAAAAAAATCTAAAATAAATGAAGGAAACTTTTTTTATAATGCCCTGCAAAATGGTTGAGAATTAATCATGGAAAATGTACCTAATTTTTGTGGGAACAGTTGAGCTCACAATTAAAGATTTGGGTCTTTCATTAAAAACACCTCAAACATATAACTGGCAGAGAGGTGTGTGTGTGTGTGTGTGTGTGTGTGTGTGTGTGTGTGTGTGTGAGAGAGAGAGAGAGCATGGGTTTATAGTGGTCAGAGAAACATCATGGTGTTTGTGTGAGTGCTTTATGTCCTCTGTGTGATACACAGCTAATGACCAATCTCTTTGCCTTTCACACCTGTCGTTCTGTTTCATATTGAACTTTTCCTTCATATCCTTTATGGTAAAGATTTTTTTAATTAGATTACCTGTACATAATGCATTATGTTTTATACCCACAACTGGCATTATCTATAGTCTAAGGAGTGGCAGCATTGAACTGGAAACTATGGAATAATTGGTTTCTTGGAGTACTGTAAATTGAAACTGCAAACTTGGATACTGTAGAAACAGATGATTTACAGTAAATGTTTAATTTGAGTATAATACGACATCAGGATGTTTGGGGTTAGTTTTACAGTACAGTATATGGCACAAACATCTTTGATAGAGAGGACAATGCAGTAAACTAATCTTCTGTCTCAGTTACCTCATGTGTGAGTAAAGCAGTTATGCAGATGGTAAGTGTTAAACACAATGTACATTAGCATGTGCAAGTCATAATGCACATTTCACTTTTTTAATTATAATTATAATAACAGGCATTTAAGGAAACCTTAAGAGGAATATTAGGCTTATGTTTTATGATATATTAATTCTAAGTTTTCAAAAAAAGACAGAGGTGTTAGTTTAAACTGTCTCGGTAATTTTTTTATTAACATAGAGTAACAGGAAACTTTAATGTTTATTTCCTACAACCTGCTCAAATAAATGATATCTGTGTCATCTACTAAAATTTAAAATTTCTTCTACATGGAAGGAACAGTCTGTCTCTTAATGCACCTTTAATAACTCACAAAATACCATTGAAGAATAAAGTCTCATTTCATGGCCAAGAGGAAGAGTAAAGTAAACTATGATATCAACCATCCAAACACCCCCTGGTAGAGCCTGGTTTGTTCTGAGCACCAAATATTTTTTAATTGATATACTGCTCATTCTGGTTCACTATACTAGCTGTAAACAACCACTCACTCTCCCATTCAAATCAGTTATAATGGAAGTTCTAAACCTGATCTAGTGATTGCTTTGAGCCAGAGAATCTAGATTCATTGGGACTTAACCCTAAACTAATTAGTTTGCCTCCTAAACTCTCACCAAATTAAGTATGGGATCCATAAAAGAACCTCACACTTTCCTATTGATAAAGAAACACAAAAAGAGATGGTTGAGAATGTTCCCCACAGCCACAAAAATGGTATTTCATACTCCATTATGGTTTATCAGTCAATTGTCAAATAACCTGCAACACTTCAAACTAGCTGGGAAGAGGATTAAGGAGGGCCTGTATTAAGGAGCTAATCATAAGTACCTTATTCACCTCAAATCTATGAAAAATATTAATAGTTACAGTCTAGCACCACAATCTGCAGTAAAAATCATCTTTTATGGGGTTATGAGCTTCTTCAATAGGATGTGACAAGATCCTTCTTAAAATTCTCCAAAATTTGTTTCCTAAAGAAACAATAGCACAAAAATATCAACATATATGTGAGTAGGAGTTTGAAACCTTATCAATTAATTGTACACATAACCAAATCAATTGGTAGGACTGCAATCCACTTTCTGGTTCACTTACTGCATGGACAGTGAAGTCAATCACAATTTACTTTTAATAAAAAATATAATACTGAATATAGCTAGGGCTCAAGAAAACTGGTTGAGACAAGTCACCCCAGCATCCTTCTCTAAAATAAATACACTTGTATGGTGAATAAAAATGGCTAAATCACCATCAAACAAAGTAATTCTGACCAAGGATTACAGAGCAAATGTAAAGACTGTCCATATAACAAAGACTAAGTTAGTTTAACCCCAAGCTCCATGAGGAGTGCTGAAAGTGCTGGCAACACACATAAACAATGATGTCAACAAGCAGGTATATGGAAGATGTGTTGTATAATGCAGGATGTATTAGAATTGTATGGGGTAAATGGGAAACTGTTGACTGTTGTGCAGAGTTTTACAGGCTGAGTTTAGAGATTCTGATCAGGTTCTGGTATATCTGATGGCTCACTGGCTTTTGAAGCAACCACTAGATTCCCGTTAAAACCTTGCTACAAATACAAAAGCATGGTATGTATGGGAAGTAGTTATTTACAACATTGCAATGATTTTAAATGCAGTGCTCCTATTTCAAATTACATATAGGCCCCCAAGACTAGGTAGGATAAACTAGGTGATCTCACATGTCACTTAACCAATGATTAATAGGCCACAGGAAGGAGTAATCAATTCTGATATCCCATTTCATGATTGAGCCTGGAAAAAGTAGCTCATGTCTATGCCTGAGGCTAGTCTGAAGATCAATCAGCCCACCTAGAGCAAATCAAGCCCTAAAAATGGGTTCTGAGAAATTATGATTACCATTGAATGTTGTGGGGTCACAGCATCACATTCCTGCTCTGTGACCAGATATTTTAAGTGAAGAGTAGGCTCAGCATTACTGTGCAGCTTCAGAAATTATCATTCCCAGCCATCAATAGTAAATGTGGTTTCTGTTTTCAAGGGGGCTTGAGTGGGTTGGCTGATCTTCAGATTAACCCTACCTACCGTGGTTTAGGTTAAGTATACAGGTATACATGAGTTCCTCATATGCATTATTATATTTAAAAGTTAATCCTCTATTTTATTTTTACATAGAGCAATATCTGTAATATGAAACAAAACTGTTGCTTTATTTTTTTTCATATTACAGTTATATAAAAATATATCTACACTATATCCTGTTAAATTCACTTAGTATATATATACACATATTAGTAAAAACCATAATAACACATACTAACATCAAGAGTTACTGTACAATTTTAGAACTCACATCATCCAGTATGGTTGAATAGTTCTCCTCCATCTCATCCGAGGGGTAAAGATGGATTGTTGAACTAGAAGCATAAGGTGGAGGTGGAGTTCCTGGAGGTTCCTGTGCAAATATATCTTCACTACATACAGAGGAAACCTTGCCACGACTTCCAGTTGGCGCTGATATAGTACTTACATCAATGACAGAGTCACTCGCACTCATGAAACCTAAAAAAGAAATATAAATTTTTTGTAACTAAATAATTGGCTTTGGTGAGACTTAAAGCATTACATACTGTAAAGAAACTGGCTCTCTCAAGGACTGGGATAGGCAAAAGGCAGCCCATGGGTTGGATCTGACCCTTCACAAGATGTAATCCAGTCCACAGGGTCACTAAAAAACTATGAATAAAAAAAATCAGCTTGTACCAGATTTCTAATGTGACACCAGCTTGTGTTAGCAGGTTTTTCAGTCCTAATTCATATATGAACTGGATATTTATACAGTTTCCTCACTGTTGTGCTCATATGAGGTCACTGTTCACATTCATGCCCTTTCTACAGTATACTTGACTGGAGTGTCAACTTATTTTAAATTTAAAATATCAGCTATTCTAAGCTGATACTGTACTAAGAAAGTTAGTTAGTATTTAGAAAAAGAAAACTGGATACAGAAAATCACATTCTTAATGAATATTGGACAACAAAGTTATTCTCTCAATAAAAACTAAAGTGTCCTTAATTTTTCATGAAAATATTGCAGTGTTTACAGAATATAATTTGAATTACAATTTTACAATTGGTCCCCATTATCTGTCAGGGTTTCATCCTAAAAAACTGGTATAAATACTGAAACAAAAAACAGTAGGAAATTATTCCAATAAGAATAAGAAGTAATGACATAAAGGGAAATTCCATTCCTATTCATCACTACCAATATTTTACAGCTTACTTGGTTTAACGCTTAAAGGTAATTCTAAATGTAAATATTTAAGCATATACCAAATATGTTGATTTATTGAGGCAACACCTGAAAAATTCATTCAACAATAATTTTTTTTGCTACAACATCTCTCTCTCCATTCCCTCCCCTATATTTTACTTATCTAATGAATTTCCTTTCCCTCCCATTCTCCATCTCTTGCATGTATATCACTATAGCCTATTCTTCCCCATCACCTAACCACTGACCAATGCATGACTTGATGAACCATGAATACTTCTCTACATTGCAATCTTTATACTGCTTAACCATCATATACCCAATATATTCCTTAACTATGCTTCAAACCTCATCTTTTGGTCTACAAAATCTACAACCCATTTATATCCCTTAAGGCTCATTTACCTAATAATAAAAGTGTGATGAAATTAAAACCAAATTTTCACTGTCAAATTATCATATTAAATACTATACAGTAATTCTAAGAACTGACTTACCAGTACCACTCTGAAGGCCCATGGGATCAGGACTTGACTTAGCGCGATGGTGAGATGGCGGCCGACTGCCAGGTTCAGAAACAGAACTTGTCGACTGTAATAAAATCAGGTTGACAAAATTAAGTATTCCTACTTTTTAGGGTCAAATGTTAGTTTTCTTGCAATTAGAAAATAAATGAATCATAGAGTAGCAGCCTGATATTCAACTGTTTTCTGTTTTGTTTTGTTCAAATACTGCCACAATAATCTCTCCCGAATTCCTCCCAACTTTACACTTTCCTCTCAATCTTCATTCATTTTCCTTAATATATTAATGCATGCGCGCGCGCACACACACACACACACACACACACTACATCCTTGACCACCGGAGGGTCAAGACCTATCAGGCACTGCTGCGCAGCTGCTTCCCTTGGCCATGTTCGGCCCCAAGTCCCTCTCCCCGACCCATCCTCACCACCAGGATATCTACATAATCAAAAGTGACAATTTCGTTTCAGAAAGAAGTGGTGAACGGTGAATTCAGCACTAGACAGTACCAGTGAGAGCCGTGACCCACCAGTGAGATAAGCACCCCTGGGAACTGACCACCATCTTCTGACTAGGAGGTACTAATCCGTCCACCCTGAGAACAACAGAGGGCCAGCTATGCACCTGATTACGAGATAACACAACATCACCAAGGAGAGTGAGGTACTGTGACACGACACGACACCACACCACACCACAAGGTGTCTCCAGGACCACGTGAGGTCCTTCATCTCAACACCTACGGACGAGTTACTACACCACGTGAACACCACACCACCCGGTGCCTCCATGACCCTATGAGGTCCTTCACATCAACACCTACAGATGAGTTACTGCACCACGAGGTCTATGTGACCTCACACAGTATGGCAAGAGACCAGCCCGGACCATCAGCTGTAAACTATAATAATTTGTTTGTTCAATTCATGTTCCTTCTCCTTTCAGTTATGAAAGCTTTTGTTAAACGACCCACCCACCCCATGTCTTTGTATGTAATAAGTCATTTTTGTCTAATGTATATTTTCAGCCTTCGGGCTGCAGAACTTTTTCAATAAACCGTTAATTATTATTAACCATTACTCCTTACTCAATTGCTCATTAACTCCTTCATTACAGGATGCCACTTTTAATATTTTATCTGGCATATGCTAGATGATTTTATTCAGCAGAAAGGGACCCTCGAACCCAAGAGGTTAAATTCCCAACTCATACAAACACACATGCCTATTGGGACACTCCAGTGAGTGAGCTCCAAATGGTTAAATGTAGACCCTCTTCCACCTCCCTCCCTCCAACTCCTCTCCCTCAGGATATGCCATCAAACTCCCACCACAAAAATAGTACAAGAACCGAGGACCACTTCAACTTGAAAAGGAATGAATATAGTGATGAAACAGTGAAATGGTCAGTGGAAACAGTCCGCTATTATCACAGTCAGCAGTGTGTTTACAATGTTTACCTTACGCACAACACCATCAGAGGAGGAGGTACTATGATAACCACGTTATACTCCACAACACCACCAGGGAGGGAAGTACTACAACCATGTGTTATACTCCACAACACCACCAGGGAGGGAAGTACTACAACCATGTGTTATACTCCACAACACCACCAGGGAGGGAAGTACTACAACCATGTGTTATACTCCACAACACCACCAGGGTACTACAACCATGTGTTATACTCCACAACACCACCAGGGAGGGAAGTACTACAACCATGTGTTATACTCCACAACACCACCAGGGAGGGAAGTACTACAACCATGTGTTATACTCCACAACACCACCAGGGAGGGAAGTACTACAACCATGTGTTATACTCCACAACACCACCAGGGAGGGAAGTACTACAACCATGTGTTATACTCCACAACACCACCAGGGAGGGAAGTACTACAACCATGTGTTATACTCCACAACACCACCAGGGAGGGAAGTACTACAACCATGTGTTATACTCCACAACACCACCAGGGAGGGAAGTACTACAACCATGTGTTATACTCCACAACACCAAATTAACAGTGATTCATACATAAACTGAATGTTCACTCCATGACTCATTTTTGTACAGAAAGGTTTTGTTAAATAACCCTCTCCCCAATGTCATTATATTTTAGAAGTAATTTTTGTCAAATGCATATTTTCAGCCTTTGGCTGCTGTACTTTTCAATATACCATTAATTATTATTATTATTAAAAAAAAATATGAATTCCCATTTTATAACCAAGCATGGATCTGATGACTTGTCTAGTAAACATGTCCATAGTTTAACAACCCAGGATTCCCAGAACCACTGACATGAATGATTGGGACTAAATTCCAAAAATCTAGAAAAAAGTACCTTACTTGGCAGAACTTTCCTGTAGACACATTTATCCTAAGTTCTTGTGTTCTTGGTAAAACAAGGTAAACCACAGTAGGTATATTATAATTTTACCAGTTAAAGGTGTGACACTACTATTCATTAACCCACCATTAATCCTTAAAGGTCTGACGTCGTCCCAGAGTGCCCAACATAGTAGGGGTCTGATGTCATCAATCTAGCGCTTCATTTTTTTTTTTTCCCCGCGTGAGTAGAGTAACTATTTTTGTGGCAATAGCTCATCCCCGCTCACCCACACTTCTCCTTGACCACATCTTATGCAAATAATCAGTATAACAGTTGCCACCATGGAAGAAGGTCGTGCATCTACCTCTCAGGATTACCCACTTAGAACTCCAGCTCCCAAGCCGTGCCACTCCAAGCCACAGTGTGGTGAATGTATTGTATATAGTGTAAAAATAAGGAACCATGTGAAGGTGTTGTTAAGTTGTAAGAACATGGAGTGAGTTGGTAGTGCACCACTGTTCACTCCCAGATGTGAGACAACTGCTAGAGGGGCGGTGAGGTACGATGTCTCGCCGACTTCTCCGACTCGCCAATAACCATAGGTGGTGAGTACAGTAATAATTGTGTTATTTCCTATTGACTAACATTTTGTTAGTCAATAGGAATAGGAAATAGAAATAGAAATAGAAAATTAATTTTATGATTTTCATATTTTAGCCTACTATTCAGTTTCTGAAGGGAGACTTCCCGAGATATGTCAGACCTTCAAGGGTTAAACAAAGATACCCTTATAATATCCATACATGTAACTTCTAAAGTTGAGTACAAAGATACTAGACCTCATTCTACCTCAATCTTTGACTCAAAGAAGCTAAAGTAGCTTTACCATTTGAGAAAACCAAACTCTACTGGACCAGAGTGAAGCCACCAAAATAGCCTTTCCTGTGAACTATCAAGATACAAAAATGTCTAAAGGATATGGAAGAAAAAAAATTAGTAAACAGGTTTCTGTTCACAGTCATCATAGAACCGAATGAACCAAAATCTAGTACTATACATGTAAAAGTAGACAACAGTCAATTAACAGTGCAACATCAAACGATGAAGACATAAATTGTGAACAGAAAGCTGAAGGACAAGGATATGCTGTGTCATGGCTGTACATTGGTGAGAACTTCACATTCAGAGAAACAATCTCCAGTGATAACTTGAAATTGTGGTGTGAACTTTGTTATCCTTTAGTCAAATAATATTCCACAAATAAATGTTCTATGTTCAACTTCAAGTAACAAGTGGCAGTGGTGACGAGAGCAGTGGCACGCTGCAGCGGTAGTGCCACTACATTTTGGCCCAAGTAGTGGTAGTACCACTATTTCCACGAGGTAGCACCCACAACACTGTACATCTAATATACTATAGGAATAGCCGTGTGTCTGTCTGTGTGTCTGTTCTGGGCAGCTGAAACGGCACAATTGTTTATCATCAAACTTGGTGGAAAAAATCGCAAAAAAATTCGTAGAGTGAAACAAGCCTGGTCCCATGTCGATGGTTTCTTTAGGAAGGCATTAATTAACCATTTTATTTACGCTGGAAAACGATGCAAGTCTACGGATTTGGCACACCCTAATTAACCATTTTATTTACGCTGGAAAACGATGCAAGTCTACGAACTTGGCACACTCTCATTCGCTGTATGCTGTCAGCCGGACGGCAAACCGGGCACGAAGGCCCCGCGATCACTTGTATGTTCTAAGCAGTTTGACAGGCTGCAGCAATCAGCATGTTATAATGAAATTGTTAAAAGCCGAATACATCTTTAAAATCCAGCTCCAGCTCTAACAATTTCTTCATTTTTTAAGTGTTTTATCCTATTTGAAGATGTAAGAAAGACAGCCAATAGGTGAAATGAACACCAGTAATACCCCTTGTGGTATAAGACACTGCAAAACAATAACTTATATGGTAAGTTGGAGACTTGGGGGTGAAATGGAGCATTGAAGATAGCAATAAAATGACAGACATATACCAGTACAGTAAAATGTCAATTTAAAGCGATTCAATTTCAGATTATTGATTTAAAGAGACATCCACAATTAAGGACTACGTTTTAATTTAAAGCGAATCTTTCCTATTTTGCACGAGTCAATCTGGCGCATCATATTTAAAATTTTGCGCCTAATGTTTCTCTGGGCACTCTACACTGTCCTAAGGGCAAAGGTGTACTGTACATGTACTCAAAATAATGTACTAAATGATTACTAAAATTTTTGTCAAGTGCAAACTATAGCATGTTTATATTCAAATTAATCATTATCTTATAAGAATTCCAACAATATAAATTATATTCTCCCCGGTCACTTCTGTGACATTTTATAAGCAAAAAACATAACCTCAAACTAAAGGACATAAATAAACAAATAAATACTTCACCAGACCTTTGGCACCAACTGTCAACCATGTCACTGTCACCACCCCCCCCCATCCCCACCTTCCCAGCCAGGGTTTGGAGTTTAAGGCTTAAAGTTTTTATCTTATACAGTCTCTCCTCGACTTACAACAACCTGGACATACAACGGCCATGGTCGTATAAAATATTTTTCACATTACGTATTTTTGAGTCCCGCTGTTAGTGATCGCGCTGTGTACTGACAAAATTTCCGTTTGTAATTCCCTTTAAAATGGCTGGCAAGAGTAAATGTGAGACCCATTTTAGAATTTCTATGTAT